TTTGGTACATCCTCCACAAATCTCTCTCCTTTTTAATATAGTCAGTAATTTATTTTTCTTCAATGACTCTGCAAATTTCTTTCTGAAGCAGATGTTGAATTGGGATTTTCTTTGTCATCTATAGATTTTATTATAAGATCTTAACACCTGTTGTAGTTTTAAGCACTAGATGCAAACAAAAGACTAACTGATGATTTTTTTTTTCCTATGGATCAGAGACATTAAAAAGCTTAAGGGATTTCTACACATCAGGGACATAAAAATAGCTTAAGTGATTTGTTGTTCTTGGTCCAAAATCTGCATTAATATTAATGTAGCAAATTACACAGCACTTATTTCGATTTACTGCATTACTTAGAATGATTACTTTGCTACTTATGCAAATGTAAAAACAGTCCGAGTTGACAGATAAAAGAGAACTGTTGATTATTTATGGCTAATTTGTTTAACTAATGTATTGGGTATTGCTTGCTTCACATGGCAATAGTTATAAGTAAAATGATGCATTAAAATAAGTAACAAGGTAATCTCTGAATATCTGTGTCATTTATATATGGACTGATCAAGAGGTGATGTAAAAAAAAAAAAAAAAAATGTCCGGAGTGGTTTGAATTGATAACTTTTTCACTCCATGGATATATGACTAAGTATTTACTTAGTCTGGTACATGGCCATAATTGCAGGGCATGTTAAAATTGAGATCACTATAACATCATTGACTTATTAAACAAATTTGATAATGTTTTTGCTTTGAAAATCAGCATTTGAAATTCTAGCTTTTTTTATTTTATTTTTTTACCATATTATGCAACTACCATTTTTACAAGGTAAATTACATTTGAATGGTATTTATTGCATTTTTTGCTTTTTGTATCAATTTAATTTTAATTTATTTCTTTTCTTTAAATTTTATTTGAAGTTAACCTCGCACAGTTACACTTAGTAACAAATCATTTTTTTTCTGACCTTTGTTAATAAAAATTTAGTAGATTTAGAATTTCAAATTCTAATTTAATTCAACCAGTCCATAATTTCATCTGAAATATTTATTTTCTGTTTAACCTTCCGAATCATCCCCACCCCCCTCAGTAATAGTTAAGGTGGGTCTCTACCATAAAAGATAGATTATCAATTTTAGTGATACCATCCACCAAAGAGCCCAACTGTAACATTTGGTCATGAAGACTAGATTTGAATTCTTTACCAATCTAATCTAAAAACTGTTTCTCTTTTCTAATAGATGTACTATCTTTATTGCATTATTTTTTTTAATATATATTAAAAATATAAAATGGCGACAATTTACCTATCGCATCGTGTGTGCATGTATATAAAGGATACAATGGGTAAATTGTTGGCATTTTATATTTTTAATTTTATGCATGCACGTTGTTTGTTTTTGATTTTGTCAACTGCACAATATAGCAGGTTCAGTTGGGCACAGTCTATGAGAAAAAGAGCACCATGACACAATTCACTATGACAGAAATTTGGAAATGGCATGCTGTAGTGCTTGGGATTCGTGCCAGAAGCTCCAATATCAATCTGAGAACAGTGCCGAGAGTTCAGAAAGAGTTGGATGAGTTTAATGGTGATTAAAAAGGTACAGCAGCTCAGAAAACTTGCTGATCATTCTGATAAGAAAAGAATTCACAAGATTTGTTTTTTGAAATCCAGGCCATGATTGATAACTAACCCTCAAATCAATCAGGTCCATATCCAGGGACACAGGAGTCTCTGAGTTTCTTATCAGGTAGATAAAGCATGAAGACTTTCAGGAATTTCTCATACAAGATGAGAAAGGGCTAATTTTTATCCCAAGCCAAGAAGGACAAGAGGAAAGATCATGCTATGAAGCTTTAGAACAAACCCAAGCATCCCCCTCCAACTGAACATGCTTTGGTTTTTCTCAGATGAGAAAAATTTCTGCCAGTATAAGATGGTGAACACATAGAATAACTGTTAGCTCAGACTTGAAACAGAGGCTTACATCAAGTGGTTTGAGGGGTGCTGCCCTGGGTCAAGAGGGTGGCTGCTGAAAGACCCTATGTATGGCATCAGGACTCTGCACCGTGTCACAAGAAGGAGAGCCCAGTCATGGCTGTCAGACAATTTCTGCAATCACATCACCCCTTACACCTGGTCACCTAACTCTCCAGACTGCAACCCCCTTGATTATTATGTGTGGGATACGATTGAGTGACAGACCAAAAAACACCTTGTCACACCAAAGATAAACTTAAGGATTATAGTAGCATTCACCAACTTAAACAAGGAGACCATCCAGAAGAGTTGCAGGAGATTCTGAAGTTGTCTGGGGGCCATGGTTGAAGCCAAAAGTGATTTTTTTTTTTTTTTTTTTTTTTTTTTTTTTTTTCAAGATATCTGTGCTAATATCGGTGTAAAAAAATTCAGTTGTTTGAATGTTGTTTTGAAAGGGGAAGCATTATTTTTATTTTGTGCTCATACTTAGAGAAACAAAATGAAATCACAAGTATGTTTTATTCAGATTTAATATTTTAGCCTCTGTAAATCTATGGTATTTTACAGCCATGGTAGATGTATGATAAGTGGGTCTGAAATTGTGTAACCTAATACCATGACCAATGCAACCTGTGACATCTGATGATCCAACCTAGCTCCAAAATGAAGTTGTATTTAGGAGTTAAATTCATATTGATTTTGTTTTGTTAGTCATTATACTATGTTGGACATCTGTTATAGAGAAATGACATCTAAGCAAGTGTTAAGTCGGTTGCATGTGCTTCATCTTCACATGGTACTCAACAATTGGAACACTATGCTAGATTAAACTCAGCCTAAAAAATATATATTGGATGTCTGACATAAAAGAATAAAACAAGTTAGTCTACCAGTTCATGTTTGGAGTTTGATCTGTATTGGGTCTCTTATGATTGTTGCTTTGAACCAATCTCAAAACTAAGCTTAGTTAAACGTTTCTGTGAGGTTCATATCTTTGAACTTCTCGGTTAAATCTGAATCTGGAGCCCCTTTTAAAAATAGTATATCTACTTATTCACATTTACATGTTGACTGTTGTGCTCATCTTTATCACGACGTTTTGGCTGTTGCACACTCTAGCCTTTATCAGATGTATGTTAATCCAGATAAACTTACTAGAAATTTCAAACCAAACCCTTTTATCTATGGGAGTAGATTGTTCTCATTTCACTGCCCATCTTGTCTATTTTTTACTTAGTACTTCTCAGTCATTGCTTGCCTTGTTTCCAACTAAAAGTACAAAGTCTAAGTAAACACTATGCAGCCTAGGGATTGAACACACAATTACTGTCATGAAATTCATGAATCAACACTTTAATCCATGAGTCTATTGTCCCATGAGACAATTCTCTGTGGAGAACTTGGAGCCTTAAATCTAACCTACCTGCTGATGATGAGTGCAGCTGCTGTTTTTGTCATGCTTGACTGCACTGACGGAAGCTCCTCTCCATGTTTTTCACACAGAATTGTCCCACAGGACCATATTCTAGTGGATTTAACTGTCAGTTTGGTGACAGTAATTGTAAGTTCAATCCCTGTGCTGGTCAGTGTATATTGGACTTAGTGGAAATCAGAGGAGTAATAACTGAGCAGTTCTAAATAAGCACTAGCTGAGATCTTCTTAGACATGGGCAGTGGAATGAGAGCAATCTACTACCCCTGTAAATTAAATAAAGAGTTCAGATTGAAATTCCCTGATTATTTACATGTAAATAATGATAACTCTTCATCTCAGAAATTCAGACAGGTTATTAATTTGTGATGTTAAAATAAGTAATTTTATATCTTTCATATAAACATATAATCAGATTAAAAAAGACATTCTTCTTGAGTGAGACTAAATTTTAGAGCTATAGCTTATTAAATCTGATTTCTATTTTATTGATTCTATCTTAACAAAATAAAGAGATTTCTTTTTTATTTTCTAAATTTAAACAACATATTTACCATTTAGTTTATACTTCTAACTTTTCCACTTAAAACTCTGAATTTTTATTTATTTACATTTTTTTTTTTTTAATAGGAGTAGATAGACAAACTTATTGTCTGGTATACACTCCTTCCTGGTCTTTTGAACAGGAGTAGAGGTTTATCCCTTGTTTCCTGTTTAGGATTGGGTTTCCAGTTCCTTCAAAAATCTTTTTATTCTCTTTCACTTCTGGTTGCCCATTGTCTTTGTGGCATTATCACCTTACTTGGGATGGTTTCTTTTTACTCTGTTACACTCTATATTGAGTGACTCTTGGGTCTTGAACAGGATTAAAAAAAAATTTCACCTGTGGAACACTTGTTTCCCTGACAATCTCCAATCTTGAAAAATGTAAATTCAATGTCAATTGCCATTTTCTGTCTTCTTGAAACCTGTTCTTTTATTGTCCTTTCTCTTCACTAAAGCCTTCTTCTCTTTCACACTCAGTAACCCTTGCATCGTAGTGGCATTATTGCCATCTTCTGTCTTTCTAAACCCTGTTCTTTTATTTTCCATTCTTCTCACTAAAGTTTTCTACTTCTCTTTCATACATCTTAGTGGCATTATTGCTTTGCTCGGGGTGAAATGATTTAAAAATAATAATCCAAGAATATTCTCATTATTATCATCGTCAGCCCCTTGAATGCTCTAATCGTTGTGGAGGGGGGACGTCTTAAGGCAGAAGAAGACTTTTTCATTCTTCTTCCTCATAATCCTTTCAATGGGCTTTCAGATAGCTTACCAGCACCCATATCCTTTCCAAGTCCTGGAAGAATCTGAGATCTATAGACAACGCAAATAACCGGAAGTTATTAAAACAGTCTAAAAGACCACTAAAGGCCAGAAAACATTTTGTTGAAATGTTGTCATTAAAAACAAGATAATCAGTGAATAATTATTAAATATTGATAATTCTTTTTTAAGAAAAATCCTCAGAATCTCCTTTGATGATTTCTTTTCATCTCTCACTCTTTGGGCTGATGCTAATTTATCTACTGTTATCTTGCAGCACCACTGTCGACGTTGTGGACGCCTGTTCTGTAGCCGTTGCTGTGAAAATAAGGTTGCCCTTCCTCGCATGTGTTTTGTAGATCCTGTCCGCATGTGTGGTAATTGTGCAAAAGTCACTAAAATTGAAAATGAATTCTTTGAAAAACACCTGAAGGTGTTACTTAATGGTAAGTGACATGAAGAAAGTTTCTTTTATGATTTTATAAAATTTGAAAATAATTCTATTAAATTAAATTCATAATTTTGCTCCACTCGCTATCTATGTGGCAAATAAAAAGAAAACGGCAACCAGCGAGTAAATTCAAGCTCTCCCTGCTGGTATTCCAACCTCGAGTCGTTCTTTCTTGAGTTCTGTCTCAAAATTGCACTAACAGACTTTTCTAGCCACCAACTGTGAACGTCACTCGAAGAACTGCCCCGCACTGGGAAAAAGTAGTTGCTTTTATATTTTTCCATATACCCATAATCCCTTGCGTCTTCATGTGATCCCATAATTTATTGCGTCCATGTCCCATAATGCATTGCATCTTTATTGCATAAAAATACATGCAAGTTCCCACTCATTCTTTTACGTTATCTGGCCGAGGACGGATTACGGCAGAGCGGTAAGTGCTTTTTTCTCCCTCATTTCAACTGCAGTAGCTTTACGTGCTAAGCAAATATGGGCTCTTTTTTGGCGGGGACAAGGCAAGTCGCAACCAGTTGTGCTCGTCCCAGATTCTGTCTTATGTCTGCCACAGTCTTGAAGTTATAAGCCTTTGTGACATGATCAATCACTCTGGTGTTGAATTATTGTGAAATACAAAAAAAAAAAAAACCAACTCCCCCCCCACCTCAGTTCTGTGCTAGTCAAGTTTTAAAGTAAGGGTTGCACCTGATAAACTCTTGGCCTTTAAACAAAAGATTCATATGCTGTGACCCCAGTGAGGTTGGCGCCCTGGGTATGACTATACATCTGGCAGCAAGGCCTCTGATTGGGAGGTTTTGTGGAATGTAGAACCACCTCTTAATTGCTGTTGTTCCCAGGTCCACCCTGACCTGGGGTGGTAGCACCTGTTAGGGTCCCAGCTGTAGGCAAATAGTTAACTCCCAAACTGGGGTCAAAACACTATGAAAGTATAAAAATAGATTTTTATAGTAAAAATACCAGCAATACATTTTTGAAAAAAAAAAAACATTACCAGCAATACATTTTTGAAAAATACATTTGACTCTTGACAAAAAACCACTTTAGAAAAATATGTCAATGAAAACTGATCTACAACCTACTTTCCTACAAAAATACATATTCTATTGGTACGAACCTATCTTAAAATTCTTGTTGGCATTAAATAACCCATTGAGGTGTTGACATGCCATAAAACGAAATAAACCTAAATCCCAATATAATTGGGCAATGGGAGGATGGTTCAGAAGTAATCACAGTTTTGTTTGAGACAAATAACAAAGCTGTCTATTGAGGTTTTTTCACCTCTTTGAAGTGGTGGGGGTCTCCTAGCCTGATATATTTACTATACAGTAATTGTCTGAGTTTTTCAAGATCACTAGATTTGTATTGTTGCTACTTGTACCAAATTAAACACTGTGTTTTCATCCTATGTGGTGCATATTGGGGAGTTTCTGGTGGGCACAACAGAGGGGACTCAGTGAGGTCTGTGTTCTGGGAGTTGTGGTTAATTAACTTCCAGTGCTTGTTGGATATCACCAAGAAAATGACACTGCAGATACGTTTGTCATTTTTTATTATAATTTTTCTCTTTATTCCTATTAGAATGTGAATAAAATGTCCCCCAAAAATTAATATTTTAATTTTTATTCTATGTACCAACTCAGAAGTGATTTATTTAAAAAAACAAAAAGAGGAATAAGTACAAGAATAAAAAAGAAAATCTTCAGGAAAGAGGGAAGTTCTTAATGTTTCAAGACATTTCTTTCTCTGTTTCGCTCTTTCTTTCTCTCTGCGTCACATGCTCTTTCTCTTTCTTTCTCTCTGCGTCACATGCTCTTTCTCTTTCTTTCTCTCTGCGTCACATGCTCTTTCTCTTTCTTTCTCTCTGCGTCACATGCTCTTTCTCTTTCTTTCTCTCTGCGTCACATGCTCTTTCTCTTTCTTTCTCTCTGCGTCACATGCTCTTTCTCTCTCTCTCTCTCTCTCTGTGTCGCGTGCTCTTTGTCTCTCTCTCTCTCTCTGTGTCGCGTGCTCTTTGTCTCTCTCTCTCTCTCTCTGTGTCGCATGCTCTTTGTCTCTCTCTCTCTCTCTCTCTGTGTCGCGTGCTCTTTCTCTCTCTCTCTCTGTGTGTCGCGTGCTCTCTCTCTGCGTGTCGCGTGCTCTCTCTCTGCGTGTCGCGTGCTCTCTCTCTGCGTGTCGCGTGCTCTCTCTCTGCGTGTCGCGTGCTCTCTCTCCCTCTCTCTGTGTCGCATGCTCTCTCTCTCCCTCGCGCTCACTCTCTCTCTCTGTCTCTCTCACACACACACACACTGTGTGATAGACATACATTTATTTGTGATTTTTCTGCCCTTCATATATAGGCTGAATCCCTTTTATCTCTCCTTTGTCTCTGTTAACTAATCACCTGATTTTCTCGATGCCTTCTCCCCTCTATGTTGGATCTTAAAAGTATTTGAAATCTATTATTTTCTTGCAGTTTTGAGTGGTCCTACCATGGACATTTAAATTGATATATTACACAACTAGTTTTAAAGATAGGTTGGATGGCTTTTCATCATGATTTTTCCTTACATATCAGACTTAATTGGATTGCATAAAACTAATGCAGAGGCTACTATTAATAATTTATTAAATTGCAATTGTATATAAGCACTGAAACCTAATGATTTGTTTGTGTTCAATTAATCGGTTCTCTACCTACCAGTGGAACCATGCATAAGTATTCTTTAAGTTCTTTGATTATTGGATTAAGAGATGAGGTCATTGGTTTCAGAAAATCAAGATTTACTTCTTGATGGCAATATTCAAACTCGTATATTGACTTTTAATTATTGTTGCTTAAAATTAAAACTTTTTTTCTTGTAGGAAGTGAATTCCATGTATCTGATGACCTAGACAGTGAGATTTCAGATAACAGTGCAACCTTTTTCTGCAAGTTATCTTCAGATCATCGGTAATTTGAAACCTCTTTGTCTTGCTTCTCTTTCCAAATTAATACTTAATTTGCATTCATTTCCCAATTCATTTTGTCTTATTTCCATAAATTCTGTCAATAGTATTAAGAAATGTTGTTCTCGGTAATCATCTTAATGGGGGTGCTAGGCAAGAAAGAATATTTCTAGTTTACATTTCCTCATTATAGGCATTATTATATGTGGGATATAGTAACAGCTAAATACACAGATGAAACAGAATAGCTGAAAAATGGATTGACAAACAGGCATCAGTTTACATTTCCCCATTATAGGCATTATTATATCTGGGATATAGTGACACCTTAATAAATGGATAGCTGAAAGAAGGGAATAACAAACAGGCATTATTTTCAAAGAGATTTTATATACAGCTATGTCACACAAGAAATAAATATACAAAAATATCAATACTTGTTACTAATTTGTCCCACAGAGAGAACTTGTAACATGAATAAAAACAAGCATAGTGGAAAGGAGAGAAGCAAGAGGGTCTTACTTGTACTATTTCCTGAATGGGAAACTTTGAGGTGCGCTCTTCTGTTCTCTCTACCACTGTGAGCCAGTGCCTTAGCAGTCTATTATCAGATTGATGCAAAATTTCCCAGCACCTTCTTTATACAATGTTAAGAAAATCTTAGAAATATCAATTATATTATCTCAGTTCTTTATTGATGGAGGTATTAGGGAAAAAGAATACTTTCAGTTTACATCTCCCCATTATAGGCATTAATATATCTGTGATATAATGACACCTTAATACATGGACGGAACAGAATAGCTGAAAAAAAGGAATGACAAACAGGCATTATTCTCAAAGGGATTTTATATACGGCTATGTCACACAAGAAATAAACATATAAATATATCAATACTTGTTACTCACACAGAGAAGTTGTAACATATGAATAAAATGAGCAGTGGAAAGTTAAGAAGTGAGAGGGTCTTACTTGTAATATTTCTCACAGGGAAATCGGCCAGGTCAGTGGTATGTTCCACTAACTTCAAGATAACCATGTGGGCTCTTCTGTTCACCCTACTGCTGTAGGTTTGTGATGCTATCTATTAACATAATGGTCTATCATCAGCAACTGGCATGGAAGGCTTGTCTTATCTCTATGCTTGCTAAAAAGAAACCCTAGTTTTGTCCTCCCATGAACTTATATCTGTCACTTGACCCTCGTGACTTCATCTTTTCCAAAGGGTGACAATTGTCCTTCACATATGCTGTGGGAGAAATATTGTGTGTACTTGTGTGTGAATTGAAATTTTATGTTCTAATTTTTATGCTTGAAAATTAGGGTCGACTTTAGTAACAGCTTCTTTATATTGAATTCAATGCATGATGGGAAAAGCTTGAAACTTATCTTAGCTTCACAATTGGAAAATATTCTCCTTATGAAAATAAAACTTATTCTGTTACCATAATTTAATTCTTCTGAATTCATTAATAGATACTTAAATAGAAATTAGGAATCTTTTTGCTGAAACTTAGTTTCAGTGTTGTCAGATAAATGGTAAAACTCTTCAGGCTACCTGACACTGCATTTTTGGAAATGCATTTTGTGTGCCATTTAATATCAGCCAATGGTCAGTTTGATTGCTCAAAGAAACTGGAATCAATCTTTACACATTAATGATTTCTTGGTGAAAAATGAAGACACAAGCTCCATTTATAAATGGATGTAGATAGTAATATTTTTTTTTCTTTATGCCTTATTGTTGATTTTTAATTTTCTAATGCCATTTTTTTCTAGCTTTCTTCTGTTTGAAAGCGACACAGAAGTCAAGGAACCTTTGATGCTAGATAAAGTTGAAAACATTCAGATACTTACACCAGGTGTCGATCCACAAGGTAAACATATAGATTTTTTTTCTTACTATAGTAATTTGAAATAAATTTACTTGTTGACTTTGATAATGAAGATATTTAATATCAAACATTTGTTGGAATGGTAAAAGTTTTATGAAAAATAGTTTTTTAAATTAATATACTAAAATATTTGTTTTTTTCTTCTGAAGAAAATACAATGTTTTTTGTTTTTTTTTTCTTTTTAAAATATTAAAGAGTGGAAAAGTTTTTATTTTTTAAAATTAAAGAGTTGAAATTTTAAGTGTGTGTCAAGTTTTCCTTTACAGCCAAATTTCTGGTTTAAGTTTTGTTTTCCATTGGAATGGTGAATTAAAGCAAAATCAATATTTTATGTTGAATGCCTGAGTTTGAAACTTTTTATGAAAGTCAATATCTTTGCTTTGTTATCTTTTAAAATTACTGGACTACTCAATTATCTTTCTGTTGAAGAAATAGAAAAGGCTTTGAAAGCGTGTTTTGAATAATGTCTTTTTCTTTTTTCCTTTTTTTTTTTTTTAATAAAATATTAGATATTTTGGTATAAATTGATTTTGATGATAAAGATTCTTCAGAGAATAAGTTGGGCCAAATTGGCTTTCCTTGATGTTGTTTTTGAGTTGTGTGTATGCCAAAATGTTTGTATTTTTCATCTATGTATGTATGTTTGCATACATACACACACAGTGTGTGTGCATGCACATAAACACACACACACACACACATATATATATATATATATATATATATATATATATATATATATTGTGTGTGCATATGTATTTCTTTGACTGAAGCATGCATGTATTCATAAACATGCATATATATGTATCTTTTGCGAGAAATCAATTTTTACTTTTTTGTCTGCTTAAATTACTTGAGAAAGTTGTAATGAAATTTCTTCATGTGTTTTTTCCCAAACTGAAAGTTGATTTCTTCTTTTATTTCTTTCAAGTGGAAGAAGGTAAGTTTTCTTCTCTCTGCATGATTATATCTTTGTACAATTTCAAATGAAAGTCTTCAGTCACTTTTCTAGAAAAATGGCATGTGTTGTTGAAAGCATTTCCAAATTTTGTTCCCTTCTATTTCTTGGAGGTCACACAATTTTTGTTGCCCTTTTAGTTTCCTTCTTGCACTTGTATTTTGACTGTTCTCCTCACTATTACACATTGGTTTGTAGATTTTTGTTTGTTTCTGTAAAAGGATTGTGAACAGGTTTACATTATTATTATTATTGCTTAATAAACAATAGAATTCAAATTTCTTAGATAAAGCATTATCAAGAATTCTTAAGTAATCCTATTAGAACGAGGATGCTAACACGAGTAGAACTATAATCTGGAAATTGCAATTAAAAGCAACTGAATTTATGAAAGAAATACTTGCTGCAAGTTAATTTTTATTGTGATATTAATATTCTTTGATATTAATTTGTGATATTAATAATTAATAAATTATAAAAAAAAATATTGTTTAAAAAAATAGTTGAAAGAAAAAAAATATTTTATCTTGTGACAGAATTATAATCTGATAACAAACAAACATAGAAATCTTTCAAGTAAATTGCAAAGAAATTCTGTTTGGATAGCAGGTGTTCTTTGTAGCCTTATTTTTATCAGTGATACTTGCTTTAATACCTGACAATCCATTTCTGTTTTCTCTCTCTTCATGATTGACAATGCACAATATATAGTCTTGGGTAAGACAATAAACTACATCCAGTAGCAAGGCCTTTGATCAGGAGGTTTTGAGGAGCATAGAACCACATCTTAATTGCTGGTGTTCCCAGGTTCACCTTTACCTGAGGTGGTAGCACCTGTTTGGGTCCAAGCTATGGGCAAATAGTTAACCTCCCAAACTGGGGTCACAACACTATGAAAGTGTAAAAATAGGTTTTAATACCAACAATATATTTAAAAAAAAAAAAAATTACCAGCAATAAAAATCTTAGCAATACCCATTGAGGTTGATATGCCATAAAACAAACCAAACCAACCCAACCCAAACCAGATTGGGTGCCTAAAACTTATGAAAACAAATTTTAGGTCACCAATTGTAAAATTTGTCAATTTTTTTCCCTCTATCACCTGAAATATTTAATTTCTTCATGTTAGATTGATAAATAAAAATCCATTATTTCTTAAGAAATTACTTTGTTTAAATTTGGATATGAAACTGAGCAGATATGAAATTTCAATTTAAAGGAATTACTATTCAGCCTTGCTTAATTGGCAAATGTCCTTTGTGGTTAAGTTAATATAAGCATGTTGGATCCACCAATGGTTTTCTCTTGCCAAGAGGGATACAAATTCTGGAGGGAGTCAAGCTTGTCCCCCTTTGTCAGGAGAAACCTTCTACTACTGATTTAAATGCAATTAGCTTCTATGTAAATCAAACAACTTTGTGCTTCTGTTTAATGAATTCTGTCTTTGTGATATCATGTCAACAAATAAATAGTGAATAAAGATTGTTAAAGGTGTTTGTTTGGATTTTGTCAATTATCCACATGTACCTATTGAAATTTTTTTGTTGTTGATGGTGGGATGTTAATGAAATACTTGTACAGGTTTTTGACTAAACAGTTTTTCTATCTTTTAACCAATTCTCTTTGAGTGCTGTACCAATGGCACCTTGTGATTAACTAAAAGTGGTAAGGGCAATTGTGTTTTTAAATAAGAGATTAAATTTAGACATCAAAATATTATTTTTGGACTAAGCTTTTTACATTGAAGGTGCTTGCTATACAATAAGGATGAATAAATTAACAGAAAATGTTGTGAATTTGAGACCTTTGCCTCAGTATTGTAGCCTTGTGCCAGATAAAGAAACTCAGTAAATATCCATCAGATCTATTTAGACATGATTTATTCTTTAAAAGCATGTAAAATTTATTTCGTTATTTTTACACTAAATTTGTCAACCTAGTGATTCCCCTGTCAAGGTTGATAATAGGTGTTAAAGATTTTTAAAACCTGAAATAAATGGTTTGTTCAAATGTTCAATCTACTCTTTGTCAATTATCATGACATGTCAGTGATGAGACATTTGGCAATAAAGTACTGGAAGAAATACATATCTTTCCCCAGAAAAATATCCCATTGACTAGAGCTTCTTTTTTTTGTGTGCGTGTGAGCACATGTAGATATAACCATTATGCAACTTATTATCTTAAGTTTGTCCATTTTAAATAAATTGGTGCTAAGAAAGAAAAGTTGTTTGCTAGAGCATTGGTAAATAAGTCATGGAATTGTGTACAACATTATTGCAATAATGAACAAAAACTTTATAAAACGTAAGAAGCACATTTATAATGAATGTGTAAGAATGATTTTCGCATTACCTGGGGGTCCTATGTTATGTTATTTGACAATATTTTGTATCTCGACAATAAGTTGGAAGTTTTAATATTAAACAGAAATAAGTTCTTTAAGTCTGTTGCAATGAGATAAACAAAAGAAGCAATAAAGCTACACAGTCATTGCATGAGGAAAAGTTGACAAAATTCAACACCTTTTAAGGGTGGAAGGTAAATTTAAAAACATCACATAATGGGAAATGAGAAAAATCAAAAATCTAATGTTTTGTCAAGTAACATAAAAATGGAGTCTGATGCTTTGGCACACGTCATCAGTGATGTTTTTAGCTGAGCATCGCTAGGTGCTTCAGGTCTTGCAGCATCATGAGCCTGTTGATACTGATCAGATATCAACATGTGTCATCCATCAGCTACAGCTATTCTTATAAGGCTGCTTAATACATTTCGACTCATCTGGCCTCTATCGTCTAATCACTATAAAAGCCACCATAGTTTCTGGTTGTTGGCAAACATTAAATTTGCTTGGTTGGAAAATTGTAAATTATAAAAAAAAAAATAAATAAATAAAATAAATGATCATGCTTTACCTAGCTTCTAAATATACCTCCTTGACCTCAACTCTTTGTCTAAGATCAATGTAGTATCTGTGTGCACTACCTAGCATCAAGAATATCACTCCTTCGCCCTGACTCTTTTTATAGAATTGTAGTATCTGCGTGCACTACCTAGCAACAAAATGTCACTCCTTGGCCCAAATCGGTGTAGTATCTGTGCACTTTGTATTGTTTTTCTAAAATATTTTTACCATGTTGTTCAAGCAGCAGAATACTGACATAGTGGAAATGTCACTTGCCTGCTTTTCTCCAGGTCGTATGTTCAGATCAGAGCTGGATTCATTTGTTAATTTCATGTATCTTTGTTTTTAATATGTCAGAAATTAGAGATAGAGAAACAAAGAAACAAGTTACCCTGTTCATCATTATTATTATTATCATGTGATTACTTTAGTTTAGGTCAAGGGAGATAATTGGTGAATAATTACCGAAAATGATGAGAATTTAACATCCTCGATATCTGGATGCTCTGAAATTGCAAATAATTTAAATTTGGGTTATCAATGATTTAAGGACCTGGAACATTTCTGAATTATCAAAATATGGAAGATTCATTTCACAAATAGCGCCTCCCCATTGCACTAAGAAAAATAGGGCTAAGGAGTTTTAAAAGCCAGGTTTTTTTTTTGGGGGGGGTAATGCATAATTTAGTCATATTTTAATTTGTATGACCAAATCTTCTCATTTTAGTTAAACTCTTTCTTGGTTATAATGTGTTAATTTAGTAAATTAGTTTTATTGGTGCCTTTTGTTGCTGTGGATTTTCAAGTTTTCATCATTGAATGGCAAAATATCACCATGGATAGACACTGGGCATTTGAAACCTTCTTTCTCACTCTCTCTCTCTCTGTGTCTCTGTGTGTGTGTGTCTCTCTCTGTCTCTGTGTGTGTGTGTCTCTGTGTGTGTGTGTGTCTCTCTGTCTCTGTGTGTGTGTGTGTGTGTCTCTCTGTCTCTGTGTGTGTGTGTCTCTGTGTGTGTCTCTCTCTCTCTCTCTCTCTGTCCCTGTCTCTCTCTCTCTCTCTCACACACACATTTTTATTCTACTTACATTTACATTTTTTATTTTGTAAGCTTT